CATCGCTACCAGGAGCATTCCTACTACTAGTAGCAAGACGCTACTAGCATTGTTTTGGCCCGTGGACTTGACCGGGCGAGCACTGTGAAAGACGATTGGTTGGACGACATCGTGGGATGAGGTACACCTCTGGCAGCACTGGAACGCCCAAAGGCTGGGTTTGCACCACGTGGACTGAATGTGTCACTTCGGCAAACAGATATATGTTAATAAACATAAACTGTAAGCAAGTGTTGGTGTACATTTTTGTATGTATATAGTACCTCAGGACCCATGTGTGCTGATGCCCCAGTCTGAGAGTTTGTTTGGTGAGGTGTTTTGGTACCGCGGCGCGGTGTCCTGAAACTCGGCTGCCCAAGTGAGAGGAAGTCAATTCTTGGAAACTTGAAACCAGTTGTGGGGTTCTAAGCCTCTAAGCTATTCTTGAGATAGGAACTTCGCAAGCGACAGCCATGGCCATGCCTGCTTGTTGTTATTTAAGTTTGTGGAGGTGACCCGCATGTACTTTAATGTAGACAAATCACAATAAACTCCTCTGGGGAAAGCATTGCCGAGATGATGTACATCATATAGCTGGGTGATCTGAGGAATGTTCTGCACTCCTTTGATGCAATGGTCAGGGGCTCCTCGGAGCGCGGAGCTCGGAAAATCCTGGCCACAACCACCTATTGTAGCATGGCATGCGAGGGAGTTGGCTCAATTAGCTGCTAGTAGTGAAGGGATAAAGTAGTAGCGATCGGGTGCAGAAGGGCTCAGCATATTCAAGGAAGAGGGCGGGGGGAGCTTCCTCTTGAAGAAGCCTGAGGCTTATATATATATATATATGTATGGTTCCTGAGCCTTGATGATACTGGAAACCTATTAGCCTATTGGATGGGGGGGGCCACACTGTGGATTTTCAAGCCTCAATGGGAGGATCAGGGGTCAATCCCGTGCTTGTCGTCTCCTTCATTTTTCTGGCAAGTGAGGTTTCGACATCTCGGTTTTGGAGATCTTTTGGCCACTTTGCTTCGGATTCTCGCTCTTCCTGGTGTCCGTGACCTGGTCGCAGGGTGAAACGATGTGAAACGGTTGGACATGTGCTGATTGCACATCAAGCCGCAGGCCAACACCGCCAGGAACGGGCCGAGGCTGGCCAGGCTGCTAGAGAGCCAGGCAGAGATGCAACCATAGGGTGCAGCTTTTCATTGGACATGCCTTGAGCACAGCGCATTTGGACTTTGGACTTTTATTGGCACATTCTCTTACATCTGTGACTTTTTGACACCAAGTGAAATCTCAATTTGCAGACTTAGCTCTGGTCTTTTCGCAGGGTGCCGATTTACTTCAGGGTACGCCAGCTTTGTGGCGCTCTTTGGTGGCTGCTGGCTGGCAAGGCCATCCAGGCGCCTTGCATACCACTATGTAGAGCGATGAACGGATGGATGCCATACGATCAAAGTAAACCAACCCATGTACTACTGACGGCCAGCAACACACACACTTATGGATATGCGTACTGACGTGACAGCGGTGCCACACGCCGGCCTAGGGTACCATTTCCTAAGAGTACAAGTAGGAAACCACTGGAACCTCAGGGTCCTGAAACGGAGAAGTGGCCCAAAGCGGAAGAAATCAAACGACGATCACGGGTCGAACAGGATGACGGCGGGCCGCTCGTGTCTGCCAATGCATTAGCCCTTTACCAAAATCTTAAAATTCAAGCAGGTACACAGAGCTGATCAGGCCCTGCTTCCCAGATGCAAGGTAGTTTTGTTAGGCGCAGTCCCTTGCATCTGCTACGCCCCCTGCTGAAAAAAGAAAACCAGCAAACAATCCAAATGAATCCCTGTGATTACAAGGGGTACACACACACACGCCTCCCCGAGGGGAGGCGAAAAGCACTAAGGTCAGGGCAAAAGCGTGAGTGTGCGCGCAGTAAGACAAAAGAATGAAGACATGAAGAGGAGACAAGACGGGACAAGAGTCTGTGTGGTTGCAATGAAAAGGAACCAAGTGCACAGGAACAACCGATGACAGCCCACCTCATTGTAAAACCTGGGCGGCCTGAAACCTGAATTGAAAGTAGGTTGTGCATGTACACACTAAGGGCCGGGCAGTGTGCACGCAAAAGAAAGAAAGTGATGAGATTGACACGACATGAAGCAAGGGAAGACATGAAAGAAAAGAAGAAAAAAGAATGTGTGAAAAGGGGAAAGGATGAAAAGGGGAGCCAAATGGAGGGGGCCGGAACCGATGAAGCCAAACCTCATTACAACGACCTAGGAAAACCTGCCCCGTTTGAATGTACACGCTGTATGTGCGCCCAAGGTCTCGACAGGTTCCAATGAACCTTAACTTTGCTTTGATCGCTATGGTCACCTTGTGCCCTGCCGAAATGGCTGGCTGCTTTGACCGCTGCGGTCACGTAAAGGCATGAGCCAATTTGGAATTCCAAAAGTGAGACAAACATCCAGTGAGACTGAACCAACTACTGTCCGCTGCGGACACGTACAACTCCAGGCAGGGGAGAGAACGACAAACACCCGTTCGACGGGTCCACGGGAGGCACTCTACGGGCTCATCCCGGGTTGGCACAAGGCCAAACCTGACGTGACAGCGGTGCCACACGCCGGCCTAGGGTATACCATTTCCTAAGAGTACTTCCACCGTACTCGTTTCGGGGTTGTTTGTTGGGGGATCTTCATTATATTTCCCCCGTAGCCATTTTGGCTCAAGTGGACTTGCATTTCTAAAAAGCTTTGGTGTTGCATTCTCGCTTCCATAGGAGGTGCCCGCCTGCGAACGGCGAAGCCTCATTGCGTGTTCACGGTCATGGATTGTCATACATGTTGCATGGCATTCACGGCTTTAGTTCACATCGTTTCAGAGTCATGTCAGGCATTCATTCAGTTTGTTTTTGCTTTCTCGATTTAGTTGGGCCGGGTGCCATTGCCGCGACCGCGCTGTGTCGACCTGATTTGGGCTCATCCGAGTGGTGCTGGCCTTTGCTTTGCACAGAGTGTGAAGCGATTTGGGTTCTTCATATTCAGAATTGACCGCTTTTTCACGTTTGGTTGCATCAGTCGTGGAACTTGAGCTAGCTCTTTTATCAGCACTTTCCATTCTTGGAGAGCGGTTGAACTTGCAGTGGCACATCTCCGTGGCCGGAGCCTCGCAGTGGGTAGCATTTCGTTGCATCAAATTGCACACATCTTAGTTCGGTAGTTCATTTGAGGGGATCTCCAGTTGGTCCGTTTGAGCTTCTCTTGTCACTCCTCTTTTTTGCAGAGCTTCGAAATTTGATCGCTTGCAAGTGCAGTTTGGCCGTGGCCTTGGCGTTACATCATGGCAGATAATCCATGGGATGTTAATAGTTGGCTCTTTGATACTGCTTCGGGCCCTGGGTCTTCTCGGGAGCTGATTCAACCGTCTCCCAAAAGAGCGAGCAGTGCACCACTGCCACGTCCGGCTTGCTTCGATCGTGATCGCCCTCGTTTCGCATCGCCTTTTCAGGTTCGCTCGACCACTTTGACATCCCAGCTGTCAGAGACAGCTCACCGGTCATCCAGGCATTCGGCAGTTGGTGCACCGATCTCAGAGCTACCAGTGGGGGGACTTCCGCCTCCAATGCATTCATTTGGAGTCCACTCACATGCAGATCAATTTGATGTGTCCTTGAGTGCGCCCGGATTAGGCCCCCCTTGCATTTTGCGTGATACTCCATTGAGCTTGAAGGAACCAATGAGTTCTGCATCGCCGGTTGTCATGTCTCATTCAGTGAATCCTCACAAACCTCTCCCAGCAGTCGCACCAGAATTGCGCCGGGGCTTCAAACGTGATGCACGAACTTTGCATTCCTTTCAAGACCCGATCAACTTGGGACGCGTTCGCATCACAGCCTCTTCTCGAGTGGTATGGACCTTGTGGGAGCAGGTGGCACCAGCAGTGCATAGAGTTTCAGGTTTCATTTCAGTAATTGACTCCAGTGCTCATTCCGTGGAACACTTGAGCCGTCTCTTCAACCGGTTTGCGGCCACGACCTTAGTGAAGTACTTCTCAGCTGTTCTCCAATTTTTGACACTGTGTTCTAGTATGCATATTGCTTTTGAGACTCTCAATGTCATTGAGCTTGCTGATATGCTTGTCACATGCAACCTGGCCCAAAAATCAGATGGTTCCGGACCAGCTCACTCAACCACGCTGAAGGCGCTTCGCTGGATGCATCGGCGCTTGGATATTCGCACGCTCGAGATTTGTTTTCACCCCGTAATTCATTCCTTCATGACCCAAAAGCTTCCAGCCAATCGTCGTGATGCTCTCCCGCATTCGCTTTTCGTTCTTTGCCAGTGGGATCGCAGGGTATTACAGCAAGCAGCCTCGACCCAAGAGATTGTTATTTTGGGAGGATTCATTCTTTTGCTCTTTAGTGGATTGCGATTTGGTGACATTCAGCGTTGCCATCTTTCTACATGGATGCTGGATGACTCCAGTCTTCGTGGCCTCACGTGGCGGGCCAAAACGTGCAGTACTTCTACCCCGTGGGGGGTGGTGATCTCCGGTTTCCTGTCAAAGGGATCATGGACATGGGTCCATCGATACTTGCAATGTCTTGATCACCTGTACTCCTCTTTGGACCAGGAAGCGATTGATTTCGTTTTCCCCTCATTCACGGAGGATGGAAACTTGGTATGGCCCCCTCAGGCCATGACGCATGGTGAAGCATATTACTTTTTGCGGAAATATTTACATCTCCCATGGAAACAAACTCCTCTGCAGCTGAGTGATCAGTTTCGATCATACACGATTCATGGTTTGAAAGCAACCCTGATCTCGTGGGCAGCTCAGTGCGAAATTTCCGAAGAGTATCGGCGCCTGCACGGTAAGCGTAAAGGTGGTCTCACTTCAACAGGTCTTTATAGTCGTGACGACGTTTTGGGTTCTTTGAAACTGCAATCGCAACTTGTCCGAAGGGTGCAGGAAGGGCTGGAAGAACCACCCTTCCAATTGGAGCAGTATGCCAAAGAGCTTCCCTTTTTGACTTGGTCCTTTTTTCGTTTCAACCGTCCAGTTCTCGAGATTTTTGAACTGCCTTCGGATTCTCCGCCCGAACAGGTGGAGTCATCATCGTCTTCAAGCAGCTCTCAATCCGATTCAAGTGATTCTCTTGCCAAAACAGATATTATGCTCACACGCAGGGTGCAGGAAAGGCATTTCGAGCGCTGGAGCATGGCAATGTGATCTCACCGGATGAAAAAGGGCCCGCGTCTCAGCGTAGCTTGTCTCATGTTTTGATTGCAGCTTGCATTGATCGCATTTCTTTGCATTCTTTGCCTTTTTTTTTGGGGGTGCCCCTTTTTAAGCGTCACAAGCTCCCAAAAACCAGTACAGCAAGGGCAAGTGAACTAAGCAGTTCACATGCGTTGCGTATGGGTACCTTCGCGCAAGGTCCCAATTTTTCATGAAGTTTTGAACCTGTGAGGTTCGCGTGCTTATACCAGTTGTACCGGCGTGCCGGACATGCGTTCGTTGCGGCCAGACTGTGCCCATTCATTCCGTTTGCGACCTGTTTGGTCCAAGCGTCATGGGGTGCGTGACTCTCAGCGTCGGAGGCATGGCATGTCATAATGATATGGCGTTGATTGCGCATTATTTTCAAACGCTATATCATGATCACAGCATAGGATACTTTATCATTTTTCAACAACCCACAGATATACTCTCGGATTCATATCATAGCTCTTCTCCCCTAGCGTGCTTTTCACGGCCTCCTTCATGGCTCAGCCTCTGGCTGAACTGCTGGCACGAGCCAATGTCCAGCAGACCTTCATCGATAAATTGATCGAAGATGGATGGACCACAGAATTGTTTGCAGTTGCAGCTTCTTCCATAGATCAGTTTGATCAGGTCCTGCCGGAGATTTTACGTCACCTCGATCGGACCCTCACTCCGATTCAGAGGGCTGGATTCAGACTTGCTTGGACACGATGTCAGGCGCCTAGTTCTCCAGAACCCGCAAGCTCCAAACCCACACCGGATCCCTTGGAGGCGTCAGCCGTATCAGGTAGCTGGTCGGAAGCTTTTGCACCAAAGTTGAACTCGAGTGTAGTCGCGGAGCTGAAAGCAAAATTCAAGAAGAACTATCCGGCTGAGATCTTAGTTGCAGAGAATACTCCAAGCTTGCGACTGCTCTCATTAGTATACCATCAAAAAACGAAACAAGAGTTCAAATGGGTGCCTTGGAAGTTTCGTTTGAGCCAAGCCCGCAGTGACGATATCTCCAGCAAATCCTCCAAAGTCCCAAAGGCCGAGAGCCTACAATTGCATGCGTTGATCATGGACAACCCCCCAGAAATCTCATTGAAAATGGGGCTATGGGCTTGCATTCGCTGCGTCAGCTTTTTGAGACTCATAGCATTGCATTGGCTATGGTAGAGATTGCACATCTTGCCACCCTGAAGAACTACTATATGCGTTTCTTGAGTCTCACGTCAGCCAAGCTGGATGCCGAGACAGGCCTCCGGAACCCAACGATTCTTGAGGCTCAGGCGGCAGACCGCCAGTTGACTTCGCTAGTCGGTGACTCAGTGGCTGAACGTTCTTGGACGTATGATGACGCTTTGTATGAGATCACCCATGTTCGTGCAGAGCTTCATACTTTGCTGCAGCCTCGCCCACGCTTGCCCAAACAACCCCCGACGAACGTCCCGGTTCGCTTCGAAGGCAAAGGGGATCACTTTCATCCATATAGCAAGGGCAAGGGCAACAAGGGTGCAGGTCGCGGTCCTCCCAAAGGGGGCAAGCCAAGCGGCAAAGTAGCTTGGGTCGCAGAAGCAGTGGTGAGCGGGGAACGCAAAGCACTTTGCATGCGTTTTCAGCTTGGGCGTTGCAATCTGGGTTCCAGTTGTCGTTTTCATCACGGTTGTGCATACCCGTTGAGTTCGGGTGAAGAATGTGGCAAGAACCATGGAGCAGTTCAGCATGAACGCACGCCACACTGACTCCCGTCGCCGCCGTGTCCGGAGGATGGCTCTTTGGTCGAATTGCCCACAAGTGCTCATTCTCCAAATTGCCAGGTGGAAGCAGAAGTTGAGCAGCCGCCCAAATTGGGTGATGCACCTTCACGTGCTTCGGACGTACCTCGCGAAGTGATGGTGCCCGCCAGTGTTTCACAGACTTCAGCATTGAATTCATCTCCCATCCAAGCTTGTCTTGAATTTTCAGGTCGGATTTTCATGGACATTTGCAGTGGTTCTACTCGTCCTCTCTCTTCTGCCATGTTGGCCTTGCAGTGTGACACATTTTCATTTGATTTGCTTTTAGATGATTCACATGATTTGTTGAACAATGAGGCATATGAAGTGCTTTTGCGCGTGGCTGCATCGGGATCCGAGGCTTACGCCGCGGCCTCCCCGTCCTGCCGAGAATACTCTCGCCTGAAGCTACGGCCGGGTGGCCCTCCGGCTCTCAGAACTCCGGACGCCTTGGATGGTGTCCCAAGTCTTTCAGCCACGGATCTTCTGAAAGTGCAGGAGTCCCATCTCATGTTCGCTGCGTGCAGTTAATTGACGTTACTTATATTTCAGGAGGACATGGTCACTTGGAACAACCGTTATCGGCAATGAGCTGGCAAGAGCCTTGCGTCCAATCTTTTCCTGAGCGCTGTCACTGCACTTGCACGGCAGTGGCGGCCTGTGCTCATGATCGCGACTGGTACAAATCTTGGCTTTTCGCATCTACACTCCCTTCGTTCGAGACACTGGGGAGTGTTTGTACTCATCCTCCTGGTTCGCACCAGGACATTGCTGGACGTTTGGATCCCTCTGGCCAATTCGTGAGTCGATTGACGGCGGAATATCCGAAAAGCCTCTGTGGGGCAATTGCGCAAATTCTCTCACCCCTGGTTTCGCATGATTCCCATGATTTTTCTTTGCAACAACTTGATTCCTTGGTTCCCAAGAAAGCAGTGGAGGCTCCGCCCTTTGCCCGACAAGACGGGGGCGGTTTCGCGTCTCAGGCAGATTGGAGCAGTTTCCACACCCCTGAGGATTCTTTCCAACAGCTGCGCAGCAACTGGATGAACCATGCGGTGACTCACCGGCTGCACAAGAAGGTGGAAGCCTCTATTGCGGCAGGTCATGATGGCCCTCCTTTGTCAGATGCAGACTTGTTGCCACTACAGAACATGCTGGTTGCATTCTTAGAATCTCAAGGCCAGATGGTCGACTGGACCATCAGCCCGGATCAGCCTATGCATTTACACATTCTGCATGCCATGAGCAGGCATATGAATGATCCCGATGTGGCAATTTTTCCATATTTGTTCGGTGGTGTACCCATTGGAATCGACACGACAATAGTCCCATCTCACTGTTTTCCTTTGGTTGAGACCACAGATTCAGATGACAATACATTGCTTTTCTATTCATCATTGCAATTGGCAATCAGCAGAGAATGATCCCGAGACGGTACAGGAACTGATCGACAAGGAAGTTCAGGAAGGCTGGGTTGAAGTCTTTGATGGATCACTTGAAGACGCTCAACTCCGTTGGCCCACTGGCGTGGCCATTGGCAAGCTAGGGTTGGCGCTTTCCGACTCGCGCCCTCCTCGCTTGGTCATGGACTCTTCAATATGTGGGGTGAACTCTCGTTGTCACATTCCAGAACGTTCGACCCTGCCGACAGCTCGTGATGTCTTGGGCTCGTACCCCCTTCGCAATTCCAATGATCGCCTGGATGGCTTTTCTTTAGACATCAAATCAGCCCACAAACGTATAGCAGTAGCAGAAAGATATCGGGGACTTCTAGGTTTTCAGTTCCGTAACACTTTGTATTTTTACAAAGTATGTCCCTTCGGTGCCACATTCTCGGCACACTTCTGGAGCCGTCTTGGAGGATTCCTTCTGCGCTTGTGGCATCGCCTCGTTTGGTTGCCTCACGCCGGATTTCTCTATGTGGATGACTTTTACATGTTTCAATGCAAACAGTTGTTGTCAGTTTCTGCAACCCTCATTTGTGCACTGTGTTTGATTTGCAAGATTCCGGTTTCCTGGAAGAAATGCGAAATCGGTCCAACCATTCGTTGGATTTGCTGGATTCTCAACGTCAGGATTGGAATCATCATGATTCCAACAGACAAACGCCAGAAACTTGCTCAGTTGTTGAAGAAACTCAAAACTTCATCCACCACTTCTCGAAAAACACTGGAACAGTTTTTAGGTTTGGCCATGTGGGTCACACAAGTCTTTCCGCTTCTTCGGACTTGGCTACATTGGTTGTACAAAGCTTTGCATTCCATTCCAGCATCTCATTATAGCATTAGTCCAGATTTGTGGCCCCGCCTTTGTGATTTTCTGACTGATGATTTGCATTTTCACACAGTGCCGCCTGGATCGGCCATTCCTCTTCGTAGCCACTTGATTTCAGTGCGACATAGAGACGTGTCTACCAAAGCAGACATCCGCACATGCCACGTGCGGGACCGACGCATCTGGCTTAGATTGCGAGACGCAGATTCATCTAAACGTAAAGTCAGTTCCGATTCTTGTCGAATCTTAGCACTGTTTGATTTGTGGCTTCGAAACACAAGTCCTATTCGGTCTATGTGGCCGAAAGCACTATGGACAGGGTACTGCGTTGCAGATGCCTTTGCTTCCAACTGCCACGCTGGCATTGGAGGTTTGATCAGGTTTCCATCAGGTATGATTCGTTGGTTCAGTCTCCAACTCAGTTCAGCAGACTTTTCGAAATTGCAGATTCCTATGCACACTGATTTGCAGAAAGATATTTCTAGTTTAGAGACACTGGCTCAACACGCCTTGATCTTTATTGCTTCTCGACTTCAGCCAGGTCTTCGCGTGCCGATTCGGATTCCCTCCTTATCCGATAACACAGCAGCAGAATCGGTCACAAACACGCTTTTTTCAACCAGCATGCCATTAGCATTGTTTCTTGAAAAGATTTGCATTCTTCTTTCCAGTTGTGGAATGGAAGTCGACACGTCACATATTGCAGGCCATGACAACGATCTCGCTGACAAGCTCAGCCGATGGGACGGGATCGGCCAGGTCCCTTTCGATTTGCTAGTTTCAGACAGGTTCGAAGTTTCACTTCATGAATTGTGGCTCGGGGCACCACGTGCCCGCCTCCGTCGGATGTACAGATCCCTTGGAAGTTTCCCTAGAGTGTTCTTCTCTGTCTTGCTGGATAATGTCACTTTTTCTTGGGGTTTCCTTGGGCGACCTCATCCAAACGTAATCTCATATCTAGCTATAGCTTCGTTCGGGTATGACAGGCCCATAGCTGAAATGAGATGCAAACAGGCATCCA